TTTCGTTTTCCCTCCACTTCCACCATTCACTCTTTATTTCAAGCTAATCAAGCTTAAAACCCAACAATAATAACGTTGTGTGTTGTGTATATATATATTTAATATATATATATATAATATGTTGAATTTCCTTAAATTTTGCTCGTTTTTTTTTTTTTCTTCTTGATAAAAGTTCTGTCTCGACCACTAAAAATTGTAATAGGAGGCCAGGTGTTGGAATATTTGCGTGGTTGATAACATCACCAAGCAATAGAATTACATGTTTCTAAAATCCTTAGTCTATTTTGTTGTCTCCCATCATTTTATGTTCAAGTGGACCTCAATCATATTCAAGCATGAAAAATCGTCTTACAAGCAATCAATCACTAAGTTCAAATTGGAAAGTCTATATATATAGTAAATAAATTAATCGCACGACTTGAGACTTGGTCAACTTGATCTATTCTTTATAATTTTTTCATTACCGATAGATAATATAGCCTATTAATTATTTTCTTTCATTTTCAGTTACCATCAAGTTTGCTATAAGAGTTAACCCATAACATATAGTGTTAAAATTCTAGAAACCATCCACGCACAAAAATTTAGGACTCTTATGCGACTTAAGATTTTCTTAATAATCGTAGTGTTTTGGTCAACTTATGTGCATCTCGACTAATTTTAACTGGAAAGTTTCAAAAATGAAAGAATTAATTATTCTTGCATTTAACAAAAATCACCATAGAAATGAGAAAAGCAATGATAGTTTGAATGATTCCACAAACCGACCTCGTGCAGAAAATTAACAAAATATCCATTACTCCCAAAACAACGAGCCAAATAGTAAATAAAAGAGTGTAATTATTATTATGGTGGACATAGAAGTCAACACTAGTATTTCCATTGGAGTTAGTGGTTCTACTTGCTCTTAACTCATCTCTTGGGTGTAAAAATGCACTACTAAAATATCAGTTTTTAGCGACGCGATAAATTATGTAGCTAAGAAAAAATCAATTGCTAACTCATTAACAACAAATTACAAGAAATTTTGTTAGCTACGGATTTTTAGCGACAGATTAGCGACGACGTTCGTAAACTAATTTCAATTTTTTTTTTTATACTGATGGTGTCCGGTGAGAATCCACTCTCCAACAGAACCCCAATAAAGGTGTATTTTGCCACTGTAACAACAGCCATAATCTCAACTAGATATTCTTATTAGATGACAAAAATTGAAAGATATTTGAATTGATAGTGATGGCCAATGGGACCGTTAAATGTTGAGGGCTAAGCTAGCCGCCGGAGTACTCTCATATTGTGTATTATATTATATTATTCTGAGCCAAAATTAGTATACTTTTTTTACCAAAAACTTCATCACTATTAAGTATCTTTCATACACCTTATACTCACTTTTAATATCGGACTTTGCAAAAATATTCTAATAAAGAAGGAGCCTTTATAGGTTTAGAGGTTCGAGCCGTGAAATAACACTAATACTTGCCAATTAAGTAGACTATTATAGTACACCCTTTCAGATGTGGCGCTTCTCGAAGATGCTGCGCAAATGAGGATACTTTGTGTACCAGATTGTCCTTTAGTCCAGATAAATCATGATTATCTTCAATATTGTGTAATATGTCTGCTTTGAGCCAAGCTCGTAATGTTTTTTTTCCCCAAAGCGACTTACACTATTAAAAGTATCTTATACCTTGTACTTCACTTTTAATATGGACTTTGCAAGATAGTCCAGATAAAGAAGGGAGCCTTTAGGTCACAGGTCCGAATCGTGAAAACAACCACGTATTAATACTTGCATACGGTAGGATGTCTATATTACACCCCTTAGGATGGGACCTTCTCGGAACGCTGCATTAAATACCTGGATACTTTGTGCACCAGATTGTCCTTACTACAGATAAATCATAATTATCTCAATGAAGAAGTCGTTAGTGGCACAATCAATAAAAAGCAACAAGTTAGGTCCAAAGTGCTAGGTTCTTCCTGTAATAATTCATAATCAATGGGCATTATCATACTTCATTTTCATTATAAAAGAAACACAACTATGATCCAAATAACAAACTTACTCAATAAGGCCAAAACTCGTACCTAATTGTGTCCGGTGAGAATCCACTCTCCAACAGAAACCCCAATAAAAGTGGATTTTCCATCTGCAACAATAGCCATAATTAGGGGTGTTCACAAAAATCTAAAAAATCGAACCAAAGCCGAAAATCAAACCAAACTGACCAAAAAAAATCGATACTTTTTAGTTGGTTTGGTTTGGTTTTAAATTTTAAAAAAACCGATCAAATTTGGTTTGGTTTTGGTTTTAATAAAAAAATAACCGAAAAAAACCGAACCAAACCGACTATAAAAGTAGCTATTTAAATTTATTATTACACCTATATATATGTATTTTTATATAAAGTTTCTAAATTTTTATCGTACATATTAGTCGTTTGTATTTTTAGTCTAGTTCTTTGCTATTATAATAATCTAATTCTTTGCCTTTACATTCTAGTTTGATTGGTAGTTTTCTTTTGCTAAGTACAATAATTTATTTCATGATAAAAATAATAAAATTTTAATTGAGTACTTAAATTATTCATCACTATTTACTTCAATTATCATCAATATATCTTGGTAAGTGATAGATTTCTCAAAGAGTAATTGATTTGATAGTGTTACGTTGAAAATATAGTCGTCGGAATATGTATTTGGTAGTGTATATCTCATATTTAAGAAAAAAATCGATAAATAACCTAAAACCGAAAAACCGACAAAAACCGAATCGATAAAAAACCGACTCAATTGGTTTGGTTTGGTTCCAATATTTGAAAAACTGACTTACTTGGTTTTGTTTTTTTTAGGAAAAAACCGACCCAAACCGAACCATGAACACCCCTAGCCATAATCTTACTAGACAGCTTATTAGATGACAAAAATTGAAAGATATTTGAATTGACAGTGATGGCCAATGGGACCATTAAAGGTGTTAGGGCTAAGCTACCCACTAATCCTCTTATCTTGTGTAATAATGTTCGCTTTGAACCAAACTCTTAATATTTTTTTTCAAAGGATTTCACACTATTAAAAGTATATCTTTATACCTTATGCTCACTTTTAATATGGGACTTTGCAAAGATAGTCCAGATAAAGGGAGCCTTTAGGTCACAGGTTCGAGCGGTGAAAATAACCACTAATGCTTGCATTAGTGTAGACTGTCTATATTATACCCTTTAGGATGTGGCCCTTCTTAAAACGCTGCGTAAATGCGGGATGCATTGTGCACTGGATTGTCCTTTAGTCCAGATAAATCATGATTATCTCAATATTGTGTAATAATATTTGATTTGAGCCAAGCTTGTAATATTTTTTTTTTCCAAAGGAATTCACCCTATAAAAAGTATCTTTATACCTTATACTCACTTTTAATATGGGACTTTGCAAAGATAGTCCAGATAAAAAAAGGGGTCTTTAGACTACAAATCCGAGCCGTAAAAATTGAGCTACTAATCCATATATTATATCTTTTAGGACGTGGCCCCTCTCGAGACGCTGCGTAAATACGGGATACTTTGTGCATCGAATTGTTGAGATAAATCATGATTATCTCAACGAAGTAGTCGTTAGTGGCACAATCAATAAAAAGCAACAAGTTGGGGTCCAAAAGTGCTAGGGTTCTACCTGTAATATTTCATAATATAATGGGCATTATCGTACCTCACTTCATTATAAAAGAAACACAACTATAATCCAAAGGCAAAATACATAAGTTACCCCCTGAATTATGGACGAAATCCCTGTTACACATTTTTTGCGGACGAAAATTACCTTACGCACTCAACCTTTCCAAAGTGTGCCTAATACACACTACTTTACCTACGTGGCCAACGCGTGTTTTACCAACAAAATAAGGCGTGTGAAGAAACAAAAATATATATCTAATGTTTTATTTGAACGATTCAGATCTAACAAAATTTATCTAACGATTCAAATTGATTTTCCTTTTTCTTTTCTTTCTTTTATTCCTTTTTCTTTTACTTTGTTTTGTTCATTCTTCAACGAAACAAAAAATTATCCCATGTTTGTCTTCCACAATCCCCCATATCCCCAGACCGGCCTTTGTTTGTTTTCTTGTGAAGAGTCCAATAATGAAGCTTGATGGCGTATGAAATTTTAAAGGCAGAGAGAGATAGTGTTTTTTGGAAGAGAGATCTTTTGGGTGTCTCCAAATTAATGGAGATTGGTTGATGAGAAGGTGAATCTATGGTCGATGTTGTCTTCAATTAGAGCCTTCACTGCTCTCTGCAACTCTTTTTTAGTTCAGCCACCGCCTTGGCCTCCAGGGACAGTCCTCCTCTGCCCTCTATGGTGTTCTTGCCATCCTTGATTTTTATGAAGAATAAAATGGAATTTAAAGATTTTAGCAGAAAGATAATAAGTTCGACAGTAAATGTGTAGGCCTTCTTACTTAAAGAAGTTAATCCAGATTATTATTATGGGATTCTTTTAGAGTGAAAGAAAAATAATTTTAATGGAGATGTGAGATTAGGGATGATGTTGCGCTGGTAGTAGAGAACTTCACATAGCTGATTTTTGATTGAAGAATAGTGGTCGGAGATGGAAGGCAAGATTTGACGGTGGCCGATCAAAGAGAAGGCAGCCATGGTGATGGATTTAATCAACAAGATGGGATCTAATTATAATTTAAAGGTTTTTCCTTTTTTTAATAAGTTAATGACACGTGTCACTATCTGATTGGAGCGTGAAATTACACATGTTTTGGAAAATTGGTCAAGAAAAAAGTAGTGTGTATTAGACACACTTCTAAAAGGTTGGGTGTATAAAAGATTGCCCGTGATCGAGAGGTGTGTAACAGGGATTTGGGTACAAGGTCAATGGGTAAATTATGTATTTTGCCTAATCCAAATAACAAACTTACTCAATAGACAAAAACTTGTTCCTACACTCCTCAAGTTCTTAATTCCTTTACAACACTGCATACCAAAACAATGGGGAATTGTATAGTTTTGCAAGAAAAAATTGTCAAAGTAATGAAAACAGATGGGAAGATTCTTGAATACAAAACTCCAATAAAAGTATATCAAGTATTATCACAATTTTCTGGCCATGCAATATCTGAATCCCTTTCAGTTATTCAATATCTACTACCAAATTCTAACATGTTAGCTGGAAAACTTTATTATCTTTTGCCTATAATATTACCAGTGCCTCCTCCAAAAATAGCCAAAAAGAAGAAGGTGGTCAAATTTGCAAAAGAAGTAATTCAAGAAGAAGCTAAGCAAAGGAAAGAGGTAGTAAGGATTAAGGTTGTTATTAGTAAGAAAGAACTGCAAGATTTGCTGAAGGAAGAAGGATTAATCACAGTTGATGAAATCTCTCATCTTATTAAGAAGGAAAAACAAACAGATGATAATACAACTAATGGTAAAGGATGGAAGCCTGTTCTTGATTGTATACCTGAATATCACTAGCATATATATAGCTTTCTGGCTTTTTAAGTTTTTGTAAACTTATACTAATTAATATAACTAGTTTTCTCTTTATATTTCATGCCCATGGTTTTTGAGAGCTTCACAAGCTTATATGCGCAATAGTGCAACTCTTCTATTTAGCGTGTGTTTGATACGACAGAAGTTATTTTTCAGGAAAATACTTTACATGAGAAAGTCATTTTCTGTTGTTTCGGTGACAACCAGAAAATTGATTCCAAAAAAAAAGATTTATACCAAAAAGGGAAAACTGACTTCACTAACATATGAACGACAGTCATTTTTTTTACAACTATGTATAACTTTTAAGAGGGGAGCCTTGGCGTAAGTATTAAAGTTGCTGCCACGTGAGCAGGAGGTCACGAGTTCGAGCTGTGGAAACAGGCTTTTGCAGAAATGCAAGGTAAGGCTGCATACAATAGACCCTTGTGGTCCGGCCCTTCCTCGGACTTCGCGCATAGTGTTATATATCTGTATTGCTGAAAATAAATTAAATAATAATCTTTCTGAAAATAAAAAACAGAAAGTTAATAGAAATTAAATTCCAAAAAAAACAGTAAACTTCTTCAAAATAAATTCTGAAAACGTTGTAGGAACAAATCGAGCCCATTGAATACACAGTGTGTCCTTAAGTCATAAGCTGGTCACCCCCAGCCGAAGCCGAAGCCGAGCGAGCGACGACGACGACGACGCGAGGCTTGCCTTCTTCTTAGCTCTTTAAGAGCTAAAAGAGAGCTTCTCTTTATATACACAAAGATTTTCTTTCCTTCTACCAATGAGGGACAAAGTGCACAAGTGAAATGAACTCATTCAAAATTTCACTTCCCTCCATTTCTTTTCCCACCATTTTCCATTCACACCTCTTTTGTTATATTTATTAATAACAAACCCAACAATCCCCCACATGAATGGGGAATGGCTATAAACTCAAAGGAATGCACGGACGTGTGTGTGTTTTACAAGCAAGAATTGATCAATCAATCGATCTTTGACAAATCCGAAGCCGAAGCCGAAGCCGAGCCGAAGCCGAAGCCGAAGACGAAGCCGAAGCCGAGCCGAGCGAGCGACGACGACGACGGCGCGAGGCTTGCCTTCTTCTTAGCTCTTTAAGAGCTAAAAGATGAGCTTCTCTTTATATACACAAAGATTTTCTTTCCTTCTACCAATGAGGGACAAAGTGCATAAGTGAAATTAACTCATTCAAAATTTCACTTCCCTCCATTTCTTTTCCCACCATTTTACATTCACACCTCTTTTGTTATTATTTATTAATAACAAACCCAACAATCCCCCACATGAATGGGGAATGGCTATAAACTCAAAGGAATGCACGGACGTGTGTGTGTTTTACAAGCAAGAATTGATTGCATCTGGATAAGTAGGTTTCCCTTTGAACTTTCCGTAGTGAACTTATATCGGATATACTCGGTCAATCGGTAGATTTGATATCTTTGAACCGTCGAGCTTTGTTGTATACCTAGACAACATAAGTCACACGATCAATCCTTAACCATCTATGGTTCTCACGGTTGTGTTCGTTT